TTTAATCTGTATATATATATTTGTTTTATTATTGAATGATACTTTTTACTTATATAGTTTTAAAATCATGTATATCTTTTTATAATAAAATTTTAAACTATTGATCATTAATTTTTAAGATAATAATTTTAATAGTTTAGTTATTTATTCTCGTTTCTTAAAATTCAGAATATAACCTATACGAAAAAATCTAAAGTTTTATAGCTAATTTGATTGTTTAATTTATTTTAATAATATAAAATTAAAGAAAAATGATGAAGGATATATAAACTGTTATCAAATATTTATTATTAGAATCATTAAGTGTCATATATATATATTAGTCATTTATGGTAATTCCGTAGGTTTTATTTATGGAAATAAAATAAAATAGTAATTATATCTTAGGGAGCAATCATTAAGTGTCATATATATATATTAGTCATTTATGGTAATTCCGTAGGTTTTATTTATGGAAAGAAAATAACATATCATATCATTATATCATATAGCTTGACTAACTAATGTATCTAGCAACCTATAAAAATCTAATGTGAACTTACTTATTTTTCAATTGAATCTAATTGACTACCTAATTGAATGACACCTATGCATTGGGGTCTCTTTTAATTAATACAAAATTGAGGTTACATCTTTTTAAATGTTTCTCAATTAATATATAGGGGATTACATAGAAAAACAGCTATTTAAGAAGGTTTACAAGTCTTGTTTTTTTGTGCCAAGAAGGTAACACTTTACATGTGCACTTATTACAAGCAACTAAAATCACAGGAGCTTCGTGTTGGTTTTCATCATCATTAGGCTTGTAGAGATTGCTTAGTGTGTCATGAAGAAGACACAATAAGTAAAAAAAAATAATACTCCCTCTGTTTTATTTTAATTCTCGTTTTAAGTTTATGCACACAGATTAAGAAATTATTTAATTTTACATATTTTAAAAATAAAAACACAATTACTTATAAATCTAACCACAATTTAACCAGTAAAAAGGTAAAAAAATAAAATAAAATTAATTAATTTTACATTGAAACTATAAAATATAAAATGATTTTTATTTTGAAACAAATTTTCTCTCTCTAAAATAACAACAAATAAGTAAAAAAATGCAGAGTTCACAAAGAGCTCTGAGAATCCATTTTTTTGGTTCAACTTCTTGATTTACCTGAACTCTTACAAACCAAACCGAGCCGACTAATATTTTGTTAATTTAACGGAAACGAATTATGTTTTGTAACTGTGAGGCCCACTAATTAGAGTTCAGATATGGCCCATGAGGCCCATTAGTTATGAGCTCTCTATCAGAGTCATTTCCTTAAACCCTCAAAAGTCAGAATCATCTTATCATCTCACCGCCGTCGTCGCCGATATGCTTCGTCGTGCCTTTAACAAACGCGCACGGTCAGTTTTCATCTCTCTCTGGCCACCATGTCTACTTCATTAGTTATGTAATATAACTTTTTGGAATCCTTTACTCTCTTACACATGTTTTGATGTTTTCTTGGCAGTGATGAAATAGCTTACTGTCATCGCTTCTTACACGTGCCTTACAACGAACCAGAACCCGACCCCAAGGTAATATCTGAGATCATCAACATAGTGTCCAAGAACGAAGCATCATCATCAGAGCCACCTCAAAATGAGATCAAAGATTGGCAAGATTTGAGGAAGAACAGGCTAACAGCTAGCAACTTCTCACGTGCCATAGGGTTTTGGCCAGAAGGTAGACAAGAGCTTTGGTTAGAGAAAGTAGGTATAGCCAAACAGTTCTCTGGAAACCAAGCTACGTTTTGGGACGCTGAGAACGAAGCTGAAGCATTCGAGAGATATAAAATGTTAACAGGGAATAAAGTCATCACTAGACCTGGATTCGTGGTGTATGACAAGATTGGTGGAGAAGGAGAAAAGTGGTTAGGAGCTTCTCCTGATGGGTTGATTAAAGGAGAGGAGAGTTCAACAACCTCTGTGGTGGAAGTGAAGTGTCCGTTTCACAAAGGTGGTGATGAGAAAGGAGCGTATCCGTGGAAGAAAGTTCCTTGGCACTGTGTGCCGCAGCTTCAGGGTTTGATGGAGATTGTGGATACGGAGTGGTTGGATTTGTATTGTTGGACACGTAATGGGAGTAGTTTGTTTAGGGTTTGGAGAGATAATGAGTTTTGGGAGGAGATGAGGCCTGCGCTTGTTGAGTTTTGGGAGAAGCATGTGGTGCCTGCGAGGGAGATTTATAATGACGTGGGTATTAAGGATCCTCATGTGAGGATGAGAGAGTTTATGCCTAAGCGTAGGCATGGTGATTGCAAGAAGATTATGCGTAGAGCTGAGATACTTAGTGAGAGTTGTAACCTTTTGTTTTATGAAATCGATGGGAAACTTGTAGATTGATTTGTTGTCTTCTTTTTTTTACTTAAGTTCAGTGTTACATTTGTGTACTTCTCTGTTTTTTCTTGGTCTGAATAATATGTGGTTGTGATTCTTGTCTATCCTTTGATCACAGAGTTGGTTAGAGAGACTTGCATGTATGAAGATGTTGAAAGTGTATATTAGAGAGTAGCCTTGATCTATTATTGAAGGTGTGTTTCTTACCTCAAGTAGTAGTTGGCACTTCACTTCATTATATTGTTGGTTGGTCTTTTTGTTGTATACATTTTCTTTTAGTCTATGATTGATCATAAGAAATTTAAAATTGTATCTTCTTACACAACCCACGAGTTCCTAACGTTGTTGTTGACAAGTCTTTATCATAATGATGTTCTGTTTCTTTTTTTGTATTTCTTTACTCAAGATTCTAATTAGAGCATCTTTTACATAAATGTAATAACTGAGATATGAACCAGAACAAAGCATATAAGCTTCTTTTTTGAACCCAAAAGGGAATCAAATACAGAACCCATGTGGGTTTCTTTGTCTCTCTACACGAACCTTACATCAGAATAGAAACGCTAGTGATGAGAAACAGAGTATGAAAACAGAGGAAATGACCAAACTTGAAGCACCATTGCTTGGAGTAAAGCCTCCGGTTCCGGTGGGACCAAAAGCAGAAGGAGTTCCCGGAAATGGATTAAAGCCTCCGGTTCCGTTTGTTGTTGTGTTTCCCGTTGGTGGTGTAGTTAAAGGTGGCGACCCTGCAGAGCTGTTACACACACACACCAAACTTTTTTATAAAGTCATGTTCATGTAAAATGAGACAGGTTTAGGTTAATGGAAGTGATCATTTTACCTAGGGCTTGAAGGATATGTACATCCACTAACCAAATCTGCAACAAAAGAACCTCATCAAGATCCACAACTTTTCTCATCAAAGCTATATAACATTTTAGAGCTAGTTGGCTTACTTGAAGGTGGGTTTTGACTAGTAGTTGCAGTTCCAGAGAAGTTGCAGCTTCCAGAGACTTGAGCTGCTTTTTGAAAGTAGCTATTAACAGCCCAATCACAGTGGTTCTTGATGGTGTTTGGTTGATAACAAGGACCCTTGTCATGGATTGGATTACAATCTGCTAAAGTTCCACAAGCATAGTCTATGGCTGTTTGAAGGGCGTTGTCTCCCATTCCATCTTTGCAGAGACAGTAAATAGCACCTGGAGAGGAAGAGAGACAGAGCTAAGAAAATCTTAAAGTTACTGTTGTGGATCCTTTAGCAAAGAAGAGAAGAAAGACTTACTTGAAAATTTGGTCATGGCCAAGAGAAGCAAGAGAGATAGAAACATTCTCATGATGATTTTGGTCTTTAAGATCACTAGGGGAAGCACCAAAATAGACAGCAAGGCACACACCAAAACTAAGATGATGGCTTTAGAGAGAAGATGTTAGAGAACTCAAGCTTTGGAAAATGATTGATAGGTGATTTTGTATATATATAAAACTTGCAAGTCAATCTTTTGGTCACAAAGTTCCAAGTGCAACTACGATTTGTATAAGTTGATTTTTATAACGTAGAATAAGAAAAAGAAATTGACAAACTATGTGGGGCCATCTCGGGTTGTTGCATAACGCATCTTTGATAATTGTGTGTTTAATGCATTTCTGTTTGACTTGTTTTTCTCGTTATCACACAATTAATGTTCTGCTAATTGTACTTATATGTAAATTGTTGTTATTAGACCATCTCAGTTGTCAAAAAAAAAAAACGAAGACCATCCTCCAATCCACTTTTATTTCCATCTCTATATTTTTTCTAAAATATAAAAGTTTATTATATAGATAGATTTGCTATATATATAATAAAGCATTTTCAGCGAAAAAAGAAAAAAAAATTGATATAAATGCACATATAACCGGATTTTTCTTTTATAAGGAAAAATATAGAGATGTACATTAGAAATGTTCTTATACATAAATCTTTGATCCAAATTTTATACTTATTATGATTACTAAACCTTATAGTGTAAGAAATAACAAATGGGGATGTAGCTCAAATGGTAGAGCGCTCGCTTTGCATGCGAGAGGCACGGGGTTCGATCCCCCGCATCTCCATACATTTTTATGACTTTTCTTATCTCCTTACAAATGTCTAAAACATTGGCCTGAAGATAGTTTCTGAGTTGATACGAATAGGATTGTGCAACACTCTGAAACTGCGCAACTTTATGGGGATGTAGCTCAAATGGTAGAGCGCTCCCTTTGCATGCGAGAGGCACGGGGTTCGATTCCCCGCATCTCCATACATTTTTATGACTTTTCTTATCTCCTTACAAATGTCTAACACATTGGCCTGAAGATAGTTTCTGAGTTGATACGAATAGGATTGTGCAACACTCTGAAACTGCGCAACTTTATGGGGTCGATACCTTTTAGTCAGTCCCTGGGATTAAGAAAAGTGACCAACTGATCTGTGTCCAAATCTAAAACCTGTGGCAAAATCACATCCCAAGAAAAAGGGATTCAAGAACTGGAAATATGTTATTACAAACAAAAACACTGCTTGATAAATGATAACTATATGTTTGCATAAGAAAAATACATCAATTTGTCCCCACCATTTCACTGAAGAGCACAAAGTGTAAACTTGATTTGTGTTGAGACGCAAAACAAAATTGTGACATGTTTCTTCACCCACCATTTTCAAGCGTTACTACCTCCAAACTCTCTGTTCAAGTAATCCACAAACCGTCTCTTTCCACTGTTTGCATCAGTAGGTAACGGTGGCCCGCTCAGACTCGACTGACCCATCAACTTAACAAACGTTCTTCTAAGCCTCCCTAGCTCCGGTAGTCCAACTGGTCTACCAATTTCAATCGGAGGCAATTCATTGCCAAGATTAACTCTGCTCATAGCTCCACCAAGCGCTTGTTGTTCCACGATCGCATTGATCACTTCCTGTGTCGCTCTGTCCAACTCGTAAAGAGAATTCGCTTCCGAGAATCTAGCGGACTGAGTCGCAATACTCGGCTGGAGGATCCTCACGTCTTGAGTTTTGGAATCAACAGTCTTGGTCAGATAAGTCACAGCCTCTAAAACCACAGGAGATGATTTCTCTATTCCATCTCTAGAAGGAAACAGCTCAAAGAGAGGTGAATCCCACCGGTTCCTCCTCTCAGGTCTCTCAAACCTTCTCACAAGATCCTCGAATATACCATCAACATAAGAAGCCTCACCTCTCTCCCCACGTTCCTTATTCCACTCCCTGCAACGATCTCCATCCACATCACAGTAGACAACACAGTACCTAATCCCAGCGGCACGCGCAATACACCACAGCTCGTATCTGTAACCTTTGATGCTGTTCAAGGAATCTACAATAACAATGTCACCTCTAGAAACCGATCTGTCAACATCTGACCTTAGCTTCCCTCTCAGATTCTTCTCTGCAGGCATGTTGGCATAGTTCTGGTTGCGATCTAGATGGAAAGAATCCTCGTCTATGATTCTAACGTTCTGCTTCGTTTCAGATTCTTTCAGCGCTTCGGATAAGGCTACTGCAGCTAGTGACTTCCCACTGCAAGGTTGCCCACAAATCACAACTAGAGCCATTGGTCCGAATTTGTCACACTGCCTATAAAATAAACCACACAGAGACTTCAGATCCCGAGCTAATATGATAATAACAGCTTAGAACATCAAACACATAACTAAAGGATAGGCAAAGACCCATATTCAAAGGATCCAACTTTCTATAGCTATATCAACAAGTAACACTAGGGATCAGTGAATCATGAAGAATCAAGCAAATTAAAGCATATTCAGAGCAAAACTGATCCATGAAAGTAGGGTTTTCATAAACCATACTTACTCAGATCAAGAGTAGATGCAGAGAACTGTAGATCTACGGAATCTGGAGAAGCGGAGAAGCAAAAAGTCGGGAGTGTTTGTGGAGAGGTTGAAGAAAGGTCGCGTGAGAATCTGATTTGGGAATTTAGGGTTTATGAGAGGATTAGATTTTTTTTTTTAACGCTGGATTGTATTATTAAGCCATTTAGGCAAATAGTTTTACACAATGAGAATTGGCAAAAATAATATAGAAAAGAGATACACCAGTAGGGATCCAAAGTAAACTAACACATCTATTAGTGTATGGATGACTAAAAATTTCCACGTGAAAGCTCCATAATTGCTTCTGG